TTAGGAAACAGTTATGGAATGGTAAGCCTACCGATACTGTTATTGGTGATCTAACAAGTCGTAGGTAAGCGGTGGTGGGCATGGCATCGAGCACGCGTTAGCGTGCACCATCCAACTTGTCTATCAATAAAGTAAAAGGAGCGAGGTGAGACAGGCACTACTGACGCTTAAGAGATTACTTATTTAGCAGCAATCTTCAGCGCGCGGCCGGCGCATCAAAACATGCCGATCACCCGCTTTTATTCGTTGCGTTCATACTACGAGGCCGCAATCGACGTTACCCGTCGACGATCGATATCCCGCAGGACTGCATCAAACGCCTTCTCAAAAGTTTAATATAAAGAAGAAGCGCGTTCGAATACGTTATATTTTTTCCTGAGTCACATAAATGATCACGTAGATCGAAACTGAAAGATATTAATATCAACTTCGACAACTGACAGTAAATAAAAAGCACAAAAAGGGATTCCGTCAGAAGGAAAGTCGTATCAAACAAGAACCACAGCAGTGCAGTCAGAAAATGTTTAATTAATCAAAACACATTGTTAATGTTTAAGATTTGTTCAATGCAGCAGTAATAATCGACCTGCAGGATATCGATCGTTGGAGCTCGGCTCTTCGAGTTCAGCCATTGAAAGACGCGAACTATGAACGCGGCATTCACCATGTTGGAACGAGCTACTTTCGTAAATTGCTTAATTTTTTCCGCTCTACTTATGCACCTTCATGAATCAGCATTAGATCAGCGTAGTTTTCGGTGTTTCTTTCTGTTTTCTTCTTTTCTATCAGACTAATTAGAGTCTTTCCCTAGGTTTTTGGTCATCAGAAACCGTTCAAGGTAGTCATGGGAATTTCTTTCAGACTCGATGATCGAAACTGATCAGAAACATGTTACAGGGTGTGGATAGATGTTTGGCAACTACCACGCAACGATGATTGCCATAACGGTTTTCTCTCTGTATTCTCTTCATTGATGAAGACTGTATGAGACGTAGGGCGGCGGTATCACGGTGTAACTATGACGGGGGGAGCGACATATCAACACACTCAGACTGGTTCTTTTGAGACGCTCACGAAACTCGCACATTAACCACACACACACACATACACAGCACATACAGTGTAGCGCTTATCGTTCACCATATCATCCCTTGGGTTCATGTGGGTCGCTTATGTCTCTGGCGAGTCCTGTGAAACCATAAGCAATTCCTTGAATTTTGCGACAAACACTTTTATGAATTCGCTCTTGAAAGTTCTTTTCCAGTGCAGTCATCATTGTTATGGCTTGTTCTAACAGTTTGCGAATCTCTTCACAGAAGTAAATCCATGCATGTCACCGGAGATGTCATGCTTTGTCTTCTTAAACTTCGTCCAAACAACTTCATTTATTGAATTTATGTGATTTGGTCTCGAAAAGGCTAATCTTTAAGAACGACTATTCCATGATCATCCAAGCGGCTCTATCCTACTTTGACATTAGTAATGTGTTCAAGCAATAATACTTGAATTAACTTTTAAAAAAACATGTGTGTATGTCATCGACGATGTAACCTTTTGGCTACTTGAACCACTTTGACTTTATCTCACCTGAACTGTTCGTTTATAACAATTTTGTTGCCCTGGATTGATTAAGTTTTTTTTTCAAAACGCAATAGTTTGAAATTAAAGTTTTTCATGAGGAATTTCAATAGGCACAGGTGTTGCCTTGGCTGGAGGCGCAGTTTATCTGGTGTCTAACGAGTAAGTTCGGTTCTTACTCGAGCTAATAGACATCCCAGACCGAAGCGTTTACTGAATTCGTAACAATGACTTTGCAAACCGCTAGGTCTTCAGAGATCGGTGCACAACACAAAGCTTCAATTGTATGTTCCAACTTTGACCGAAACGTGGTGCACGGCGCACTCTTTCCATGAATTACTGTTTTTTCCAAACAAACTCAAGCCCTTTTCTAAGTGTGGCCAAATTGCCTACTAATAAAATTGAAAAAAAACGAAATAATAAACGAGTTACTGTTTTTTCGACAGCGTGCTGACAATAAATGACGCACCGTTTAGCAGTCAGAAGTTGTGGCCGTTTCGTTTTCACGCCTTGATTTTATACTCTATTGCATGAATAAAGTTGAGTTGTTGCCAGAGTAAGGCCCACGTTATTGGAGGAACGCATGCACTTCGCAAAAAGGGATTGATCGGTGAGATTCCGTTAAGGTTCGTGCAAGACCCATCTTTTCTGCTGTCGTCTGCGCTCTCTCATCAAAATGGCCCCTTTTCTTTATCAAGGCCTCTGCAAATATGCCCAAATTTCCATCGCTTTTTTTGTTTGCAGATTTGTTGTTTTACACTGTTGAAGTCGAGTCATGTGATGGACCCCAACAGGCTTGAGAGTTGGCGTACAAAAACATGGTACTCGTAAAAATGAAAGTTAGGGGTTGAAGCAAGCCAGCCAGAGGATGGCTCTCCCCACCAAGACGTTTCTCACCTCCCTTTGGAAATAGTATATGTACCATAGTGAATTTTTGATGAATTCTCCTGTGAGACATTCGTTTTTCGTACATACAGAAGGTGTCGAGAACATTGAACTGTTTGCAACTTACCGGATTGCACGTATTCCAGTCCTTCTACAGAACGTGACTCTTCATACAAACCAATTCAGCATCCTTTTTCCGATCAGTGTCAACCACAACTTTTTCAATGTCATGGGAAACTGCTGGGTGGGGAACAACCTCGACCAGGAATAGTCATGAAATCCGAAATATCTTTGAATTTTCGGTATTATTACCTCTTACTTGAAGCTGAGTTGCGAAAGTAAGGACAACGATCACTCCCAAGAGTTATCCGTTCCACATTTACGTTACAATGCCTAACCGTCCTAGAGTATGTTATTTCTCTGCGCTCTCTGATCGAGAGAATTTCATGTGTGGTTAGGCAGCACGAAATACGATACACATAGTATTCGTAGGAAAAGGCTCCTCAAACTCGAAAGGCAAGAAATGGGAGAGGTTTGGGTTGTCAAGTGAGCGGTCGGGGTCGAAGCCCCGAGGCAGAGGATGGGAAGGAGTTGTGGGCAAGAAGCTGAAAGTTGGTGAGAAGCCAGGAGAAGCGATTGCTGAATAAAGCAACAAGACGCAGCAGTGAGTGAGTCGAAGATGAACTATCAACAGAGAGAAAGCTGTGCAACATGACTTCGGTATCAATCTCGGGGTCCTCGCACCAAGAGGTATTTCCGGGAGGTAGGAAAGGGTTTTTGCTTCTCTCTGTGTCCTCTCATACAGAAAATTTCACCACCTGAGCAGCGGGAAGTACGATAGACATGATGCTAAAGTGTAGGAGAAGGTCTAGCAGATGGTTGGAGTGGCCGAGCTCGGATGGCATCTGC